TTAATATAAAGTCATGATTCACATTGGTTGCAATTGTAAAACACACGGGAAAGTGCTTGTTCAAGAAAACCAATTTCATACTCCCTGTGGAACTTCTAGGAGCCTATGAGATCTACCCATTTCTTCCTACTGCAGATGGGAGAGCAAAGAGATGAAGCAGGCAAAGCTATCTTTGATTTGTTATTGTCTATTGAGCCGCTATGTAAAGTAGCCCTTGTGAGTTGTGATCTAATTGTGCTTATGCGCTTCGCAAAGCTTCATGACAAGGAAAACATCAGTTTCATGAAATTTGACACATGTGCGTGGATGTAGCAAAAACCGATGATTTACATGACAAATAAAGATGTACTATGGTAAACCTTTTTGTGAAGTTTGTTTTCCTAGAGTTGAATAAATAGGAATTGTTTCTAAGATTGATGATTTTTTGGAAAATTAACTTAGAAATGTAATTCAAGTTTTATTCCCTTTGTACTAAGAACTTAGCCATATTATCTTTTACCTCCTGATTTCTTGGATGTAATTATTTTCTAATACATATCTCTTCTTTCTATAAAGTTAAGACCCAAAGCTGCCTCCTCAATTCGCCACATCATCAACATTATATTAGTTGTTCGATCAAATATGTACATCAGATATACGCAGATATACGCCATTGGATCCATCATCCTCTTGCCCAACATGCATGGTAATCACTTGCTCCTTCCCATTCCCCTCCCTTAATCACATGCATTAATTTACAGTAGAAACCGCCAAATCAATTGGGATATGAGGTGCGATGGTTAATACGATTTATGTGCCTCTTGCGATTCTCTTCCAAACCTTTTAATAAGCCACTTTGCAATCCCCTCTATAACTAAGTCTCTTTTCTCTTCCCCCTTTGCATGAATCTTTTCATCGTACGTTGGATTCTACTTCTTCTGTCCCAAAAAAAAAACCCAATCCTAGATTTGAAGTATTTGGTAAGCCTGAATTTAACATTTATTTTGGCCGGATTCTCTTTGAGTATATATAATGATTTGAACTAAGCAGGAGCACTATGAAAGCTTTGTTGATTAGTTTCTCTAAAATTGAAGAAAGAATCCCTATCCTATGCATTTACTGTTGTTTTAGTTTCTTAAGAAAAGATTCGTCATACTTACAATCAATACTTATATGTCTTATCACTTTAATTTATTTGAGCAGTTGGGAAGGATACAGAGGATTGCAATATAGCTGTCCTGACATAGCGAGAAGCAGCTTAACCTACTCGGAATGTATTTTGTTTTCAGGTTCAATCAATACAATCTAATTGTTTATACTAATATGCATATTTACATGTTCTCAAATGTGCCCGCAGCAAAGCGTGGGGTTTCATCTAGGTATAAATAATGTGCATAGCACTTGTATGGTTACTGTAAATTTTTTATTGTTTATTTCATTCTATGTTTACAAAACATATATTCTTTCGGTTGTTTGATTTTTACTTCTAAACATTGCCGTAGCGTTAGCACGGGCGAATTACTAGTTTGCTTGGTTAAAATACTTTAGCTTTCAATATAATTTCTAAAAATGCATTATTTGATGATTTTTATTCCCGAAGGAAAATCGGGGCATGACAAACTCTCAGCGTTTGCATTGTAATCGGACGGCAAGCCACTCACGATGGGTGCCTTGGGTCAATTTGGGTCGCGTCCCTTCACCTGCAGCCTATCAAAATCCTCATTTGTTTGGGCTAGAATATACGCACGCAAAAATATATTCTGGCCCATTCAGCCATTTTGCTCCCTTTCTCGAGAAGGAGTTCGGCACTTGCATTTCCATGGCTTCTTTTATGATTCCAACGGTACCGTACCTAATTTTTACATCAAGTTTAATCGACATCTCTAAATCATAATACTAGAAATTTTCACATCTCATTTTATCAAAACCGTCCAAGACAGATCCTAGGGCAGTATCGCTAGCTAGTTTCGCTAACGCGGCATCCTAATCAGCAAAAGAAAATAAAAAACACATGGGCCCATATGTAAAGTGAGAAGAAAAAAGTTGCATATTTAATGCCTGGGCTATGGTGAACAGAGAGTGGCGCCGATCGGTTCATTCGAGAGCGGGTGTTATGAATCCATCAACGTTGCTAGGACTTAGATCTGGTGGAGAGCGCAAAAACTCTCCACCGAAGAGTCTTACTATCGAGAGAGAAGAAAATGGTGAGAAAATCTAGGCTGAGAGGGACTCAACCCAGACCAGTGACTTGCTCCTGGTAGCTCCCTACCAGCTGAGCTATCCACTGTTCTCTCCACCAATTACTTTTAGGCTCTTTAGTTACACCCTGATCGACCAATCGACCGGGCAACATCCACGGAATTTGATTTGATCTCAGCGGCGGCCATCGATCACCTCATCGGCGGCGGCGTGATTCCGAGCACAGAGCAGAGGCCTAGCTAGTTGTTCATGTAATTTAGCAATTGCTTTCGTCACTCGTCCACTTGGAGCACGAGGACGACGATCTCGGCCGCCACAGTTGATGGGCAGAGACCTTGTTGGGAACATCTCTTGGGGCTGAGGGGGTGACGGAAGCGTGGTGCTTTTGCTCCTTCTCTTCTTGGAACTCGTCGCTGACGATGGCGTGGTACCGGCACTCCATGCTATAGAAGGCCCTCTTAGGGCCGGTCCTAAGTTTTTAGGGCCCCAGTGCGAAACTAAATGTAGGCCCTTAACATACTACTACATAACAATAATCAACAATTTCTAGATGAGAAATTATCGATGACATGGCTTGATAATGAAAAAAATTAACACTATTATGATTGTTTAACTCATATAAATTACACAACAAAATTACAAATCTAAATTTAAAATTTTACCAATTGGTTGATCGCAAGCGTCTAGATGTGATGCGTAATGCATGAGGACGATTCTATCGAGTGAAAAGAAACAAACAATTAAACGCTAATGCCCGCGACGCCGTGCGTCGGGATGGCCTACATATGTTTATGTTTTGATATAGAGAGATTAGACAGCAGTAATTAAATTAATAATTGGGCTACGCAGATGGTGTATTGGTGTGCTGATTGCTAACCTTGCCGAGGGAAAGGCAGGCGATGGAGGCTAGGAGATGCCGAGCAGCAGCGACGCAGTAGATTGCGTCGTCGCTGAGCAGCTGGCAGCAGCGACCAGGGAGATTGCGTCGGTGCCGAGCAGCTGGTGATGGTCATGGAGTGAATTACGTCGGCGCCGGCCGCCGGCGACACGCGATGCAGTTTCGATTTTTGGCTTTTCGCCAATTTGCCATCGCCCGTCACCGATCGCTGAGCGCGTGCGCGTGAAGAGGAGAGGAGGAGACGTGGGCGGCGGCGATCATGCGCGTTTCTGTTTTCTTTTCGCCACGGAGCGCTTCGCTTTCCGGCTTCCGCGCATGCATGTGCTCGATCTGCGGGCCGGGGACGCGGGAGGGAGGGGGTGGGTGGGGCCCCGCGATCTGGGGGCCCAGATCGGCGGCACCGCTCGCCCCCCCTAGGGCCGGCCCTGGGCCCTCTCTCCTCTATACATGAAGATGTCCTTGCTGTGATGTTGTCGAGCTACTGCCGGCAAAGGTCACGGCAATGCCAGAAACTCCACCACCCAGAACGCCGTCGTGCCGACGCCGAAGCAACACAGGATGGTGGTGCACCGCAGCTGCACCCAAGCTCCGAAACATCCAGTGGTACGGACTCAACATATAAGTACGGAAGAGATACAAAGAAGCGACTGAGGCTTACCCAAGTGGTTGTTTTCTGAGGCATGAACGTTTGTGGACGCGGGTTCGAATCCTTCTCTACATGTTTTTCCAATTAGTTCCAAACGTGCTCTTTTAATTTTCTTTTGAAAATTCAAGTGTATTTTAAATTCGTTTTATTTTTAAATTAATACCGAAAATATGCAAATTTATTATTATCAAACTTATTATTATTATTATTAAATTGAGGCAAATGTTATATAATCGAAATAGTCAAATTTGGTCCTTCCATGTTAAAAATTGCAAAATTTTAATTTTTCTTGTTAAAGTTCAAGTGCATTTTAAATTCGTTTTATTTTTAAATTAAGACCGAAAAGATGCAAAATTATTATTATTAAACTAAATATTATTATTTTTTAAAAAATAAAGGCAAATGTGTGGTCCTTCCAAGTTAAAAAAAATCGCAAATTTTTAGCTATTGAGCTAAATTATATGATTAATATCATAATATAAGTTCTCAAATTTTTTGTCCAAATTTAAAGTAAATAACAAAACATGTGATATTTTAAAAGAAAAACAACAAGGTAGAGTCAGAGGATAAAAAACGGAAGAAAGTATCGTACTGGTGTGGGAACATATGGAGAAAAAACATATGCTACCAACAGGCTAGCGCTCCTTTTGTTGTTTACTATTTCTATGCATTATGGCTGTGTTTAGATCTAAAGTTTGATCCAAACTTCAGTCATTTTCCATCACATCAACCTGTCATACACACGCAACTTTTCAGTCATATCATCTCCAATTTCAACCAAAATCCAAACTTTGCGCTGAACTAAACACAGCCTATACTCAGAAAAGAGGTCAGCGCCAGCTACTACGGTGCCGCGCTCCCCTCACGTGGCGGCAATTGATTTCGTGCCACCTTGGACATGGTACGTTATATCCTGGTGCCATCGGGGTTGACGTTGAGGTCATAGTTTATTTTTGGAATTAGTTTTTTATATGGGTTATTTTTTAAATAAGTTTTGGAAAAGTGTCAATTTATCAAAACCTACCTCGTCGCGTTTAGCTCACCGTGAGCAGTCGAGAGCTCACCGTGTACCAATCCGGCAGATCGCCAAACCAGTTCCGAGCGCGAGCCGAGGCGGAAACACTTCCATTTCGGGCGCGAGAACAGCGACACGCTGCCAGAGTGGCTGCCTGGCTGGAGACACGTGAGGCGAGACGCGCGAGTGATCAGCTAACGTGCACGTGGCTTACAGCTGTGCCCTTGTTCACTGTCAAGTGTAGCTGGCAAAAGAAGAGGAGGTAAAATATGATGCGGCTTATTGCTGGGCAGCCTGGGGCCCTGGGCTTGATGAGAATAATCCGCTAGGAAAAAGTACACGCAATGTCCCTCAAATTTGTTAGCCAGATACAAAATCGTCCCCAACCATAAAACAGGATATCTGGCGTCCCCCAACTTATAAGACCGATCACAATAGCTTCCTCGGCGGTTTTGACCACGGTTTTATCCCACGTGGCGGCTGACTCAGCATGGGACCCACGTGGGCCCCACATGTCATGGAGACTATGTCAGCACCCTCTCTCTTTCTCTATTTCTCTCCTTCCTTTCGCTCTCTGCTCTCGCACAGGCGGCGGCGCGCGCGGCCAGAGGGTGGTGCGGCCGGCGACGGCGGCTCCTGGGTGGCGGCGCGCGGGCTTAGGGTAGCGCGAGCTCGCTGGCCTCCCAATCCCCCTCGTGCGGTCGGCAATGGCGGCGCGCGGCTGCAGCCATCATCACCGATGCGGAGAGGAGGGCCGATGCGGCGGCAACGGCGTCACCAACACGGTGGGAAAGAGGGTCGGCGTTCTTAGGTGCTTACTCGAGAGTCGAGATAGCTCGTGACTTGGTGAAGCTTGGACGACGACGGCGACCTCAGGATCAGCTTGGCGACGGCGGATGGCGGCGGCTTCACGGCGGCGGCCCACTCCGATCGATGCGCTGCTAAAAGAAGATGTCCAGGGGCTTAGCAATGTCCCCAGGAAGGTGTATTCACGAGGAATCGAGTTCTAGCTCACCAAGGAAAGAGAAATCAACGGCGAGGACTGGCGGCCGGAGAGGAGGAAGATGGCGTCGATCTCGCGGATGGAGACTCCTCAGCTTCGCGTGCTAAGGCTTCTGAACCGTGCTGATGTGGCGACGACGCTAGTCAAGTGGCTCGGCAGGATTCGCACTGTGCGTCGAGAACGTGGCTCGTGCGGCGACAACGCCGTCAGAGGCCGGGAGCGTGACTCGAGGCTTCGCCGGAGTGCCGCGCGCTCGCCCGCTTGCCGCCGCCGCGCTCTCGCCCGCTTGCCGCCACCGCTCCACTCCGCTTCGCCGGCCGCCGCTCTCGCACGACGGCATCGCCAACGCTGCATGCATGATTAATTAGTTAGTTAGTTAGCTAAGGCTTTGTGCTATGCTAGTACGTGCATGTGTTGCATGAGCTAGTGGACATGTGTTGCATGAGCTAGTGGAGCAAATCTATCGGTTGGTTAGCTTTGTGCATGCAGCTGGTAGTGGATCGAGTGGAGCATGGATGTGTGGCATGACCTCCGCCGCCAGCTCCAAGCCAAGGAGAAGCTCGCGCCGTCGCAAGCAAGTGCCGAAACTCATGCCGCCACCCCTCCAAGCACAGACGAAACTCACTGCCGAAACTCGCCGGGCACCTCCTCCAGCTCATGCACGCGGCGGGACGGCGGCCGGAGATCGAACTCATCGCCATCGTCATCGCGAGGCGGCGGTGAAGGCGTGGCTCTACTTGTTCGCGGCTGCGCAAGTTGACCAGGGAGCCGTCGCGCGTGTGGCTCCAGCTCTGCCGCCGCGGTCTCCCGCCGCTCCGCCCCACCAAACGGCAGCCACATCGGCGGCGCCGTCATCTTCGATCTCCCCTTCCTCTGCCGCCTCACCCCGACGATGACCGCCGCGCTCCTCCCCGCGCGACGGCAGCCATCGGCGGCGCCGCTCGTCCCATCGGCCCTCCTGTCCGCGCCGCTCCTTCCCCGTCAGCCGCCGGCCACGCCGGCCCTCCTCCACGCCGCGTCGAAGACGCTGCCGCCATCCACGCCCAGAGGAAAAAGGAGAGAGGAAGAGAGAGAAGACGGGAAAAAGAGAAAGGGTGGTGACGTGGTCTATCTGACATGTGGGGCCCACATGGGTCCCACGCTGAGTAAGCCGCCACGTAGGACAAAACCGGGGTCAAAACCGCCGAGGGATCTATTATGACTGGTTTTGTAAGTTGGGGGACGTCGGATGTCCGGTTTTGCGGTTGGGGGACGATTTTGTATCTGGTTATAAAGTTGAGGGACCTTTGGTGTACTTTTTCCTAATCCGCTATAGCTATACATGGCCATCAGGCCCGAGGCCCGACGGCCCGGCCCACAGCACAGTATTTTGGCCGACCCTACCACTGGGCCGTGCCTGGGCCTCCCCACCGGCATGTTGGGTCGGCCCGGCATGACCGACCCGGCACGGCACGATGGGTCGGTATGCCAGGCCCAACGCATAAAGTATAGGGAGTAAATATAGACATTATCGCCACAGTCCAAAGAATAGGGACGTAAAATAGACTTATTTCAGCCCAAAGAGGAGGGAGGGAAACTAGACTTATTTTGCTGGACCAAGAGAAGGGTGGAAAAATAGACTTATTTAGGTAGCCCTAAGGAAGGCCTGATGGGCCACCCGTGCCTACAGGCCGGCACGACACGGGCCCGACTGCTGGTGGGCCGTGCCTGAGCCGGAGGTGCAGCCCATGGGCCAGCACGGCACGGCATGGTGTGTTGGTCGGGCCGTGCCGGCCCGACAGATTTTGGCCCGAGCACGGCCGTGCCGGGCCGGGCCGTTCGTTTGACCATCTATAGCTATAGCTAGCTAATTACTTAAACAGCATGCAAAGATTAAGACTGCACTGTGTTTTAATTTTGTCAAGCTAGGCAAGGACTTTGTGACGAGTTAACTAGAGTGAGTAATATATTTTGAGGTGGCGAGTGTACGGTTGAGCTTGCAGTATGCATGCGCTTGCTATGCATATGCACTACTAACTTTTAACATATCAGTGAAAGGCCAATGGATAACTTCAGTTATTATACATATGCCCTCCTGAGTACTTGTATTTGGGAATAAACTAGGCATTCAAGATAGGAATAAAAAACTCCACTACTTATACTTTGCAGATAAGCCTGAGAATCTTGTTTTGATGAGCATTTGTCATTTTGTTTATAAAAGAAACGAAGGAAATTTCCAACTAATTTTATCACTGGACAAGTTCAAAAATCCACAAACTTGACACAGTTAATTAGTGGAACACAAAACATGATGATGTTAAGTGATGTGTTTATTTTGTAGCTGGATGGAACAATTGTAGCCCCAACCAGTGCTAAAGCTTGGGATTCTGGTTTGCTTCAATGGATTGAGTTTACAAAACTAAATGGAGTATCAATTCAAGGCAATGGCATCATAAATGGTAGAGGACAACAATGGTGGACCTATTCAGACACAGATGACGACGAAAATGATGACACAGTAAGATCTCACCATCCATCTAGCATATCATTATATACAAACAATTCAAAAGATGGTTCATTTAGTCACTTACCTTGGATACTTCCAGCAGTACGATGTGGAGTTTGAAAGGATGCCACAAGTTAAACCTACAGTAAGAAGATCACTATATCAAATCACATTTGTAATTGTCTGGTTGCACACGAAAACCAAGTCATAAGAACTTTACTCTGATGCAGGCACTGAGATTCTATGGTAGTTTCAACGTTGTAGTAGCTGGTATCACTATTGTCAACAGCTCGCAGTGTCATCTCAAGTTTGACAGCTGTCAAGGAGTGATGGTCCATGACGTAACAATATCCTCCCCAGAAAACAGCCTCAACACTGATGGAATACACCTGCAGAACTCTAAAGATGTCAGCATTCATCATACCAACCTGGCTTGTGGTACTACCTCCATAACTGAACTGAAGCAGAACTTAGAGCCTATATGAATCTAAAGTACATCAAAATGCTTAGCGATTTTCTTTTACTAAAATCCTCCATACATGAAACAAGGGCAAGAGACATGTGTATGCTCAATAAGGCCTAGAAACAACTGAAATCCTGTCTCCCTGTCCTGCAAATTCTGCAGTGTATAGGACAGGAGGGTACCAGGAAAAACTTCAAGAGTACTGAACTATGAAGCTATCTTTTGCAGTTACTCAACAAAAGCAGAAAAACATAGTTAACATGTAATTTTTGGTCGAATATGATGCAGGTGATGACTGCGTCTCCATTCAAACAGGATGCAGCAATATAAATATACACAATGTGAATTGTGGACCTGGCCATGGAATCAGCATTGGAGGCCTAGGCCGGGACAACACAAAAGCATGTGTCTCCAATGTTACTGTAAGAGATGTCAACATGTTCAGAACCATGACTGGTGTCAGAATCAAGACCTGGCAGGTAAGCACATCCCTTTATAGGTACAAACAAATCCTACTTAATAGGACAGTCATTACATTGTCACAAAAGAAAAGGATAAATATATCATCTTCATAAACTTGGACAATCAGATGTGCTAAGAAATATATATGAGAAAAGAAATGATGATCCTAAGTGAAGACCTAATACTTACTGAGCTAAACAAATTAAACTCTACTTGCAGGGTGGCTTAGGCTTGGTTCAAGATGTACGGTTCTCGAACATCCAAGTCTCAGAAGTCCAAACACCAATCATCATAGACCAGTTTTACTGTGACGAAAGAACATGCTCAAATCAAACATCAGCAGTGGCAGTATCAGGCGTTCAGTATGAGAACATCAGAGGAACATTTACTATCAAGCCTGTTCATTTTGCATGCAGTGACAGCTCACCTTGTTCAGGGATAACTCTTACTGGAGTACAACTCAGGCCTGTCCAAATATCCCACTACCGCCTAAACAACCCTTTCTGCTGGCAAGCTTTTGGGGAGCTCTACACTCCAACAGTCCCTCCAATTGCTTGCTTGCACCTTGGAAAACCTGCTGGGAACAACTTACAGTCATATCACGACTTATGTTGATATACACAAAGGTACCTTCATCCATTGATTGGTGCTTATCCATGAATGGTCGTGAAACTTCCGACCCCTTTGCACCATTGCTTGGCGGTGTGCATATATACAGTTATTCTGATGCCATTGTTACTATAGCACGTGTGACCCTTCAATTAAAGAAAAGATAGATAGTCCATATGAAAAATGGTCATGGAGCACGAATATGTATTTGAGTTGAAAAGTATTGAACATATTCTAATTTTTCGCAATACCTCGATTCAGTGTTAGAAGCAGTATGGCACAGAAGTTTGTACACTGACACACCATATGAAGTTAACATAATGGTCACGGATCACTTGATCTAGCAAATGTAAATGAACTAGCCAAATGATTGAAAAGGATAATGTTCAAAATATAATCATAAATGATTGAACTGATGCTCAGACATATATTGGTAGCATATTGAAGAGGTTTAGATTACATACATACTATTGATCGGTAATAATTCAAAATATGATCACAAATAACGAGCTGATGTTCTGACACAGACTGGTAACAGATAGAAAAGGTTTAGATTACATGTAGGCTATTGATCAATAATAGCTAGTTAGAATAGTACTGATATGTACTATAGCAATAGAACTGTTGTTCAATTAACTGGAAAATAGCTAAAGAAAATGAGAATTTCTAACACTTTAAAAAGGTTTGGAACTGCAAACAGCTACACTGTTCAATGCAAGGGGAAAATTATGGACTAGAAGAACAAATAATGCTGTTTAAGGAAACTTGAAAAATAATAAGAAAATTGAATGGGCATAATACAGCTGGCATATTCTACAAAGCCATAGAGAGCCCATCGAAACAAAAGGAAAGAAGTCTTCTGTGTTATGCATCACTAAAATATTTATTCATCATATTTTGATAGGTATGTGTTCTAGTGGCACTGATGACCTTAAGTTAGCTAAAAAAATTGATAGGGGGCATTTGGGAAATGTATATCAGAAAATGAAAAGAAACAAAAGGAAGTATTTGCAAACTAAAATTAACTCACTAAAACATCTATTTTGGCCATGATTGTCTGAGGTAATAGTTACATTGTTCACAATTACAGTCACCTGTTGATCAGAAAATGGGAGAGAGAGAGAGAGAAGTATTTGCAAACTAAAATTAACTCACTGAAACATCTATTTTAGCCTGCTTGTCTGTACGGTTGTTCACAATTACAGTCACTTGTTAACCATATCTTTTTAACTTTAATCTTTGCTGTTTAGAATATGTAAAATGGTCATATGAAGCCATTTTATTATGCAATTTACATCATACACTGAAAGCTAATAGAAGGCAGTACACTGTGAATTGTTTGATCAACATGAGAATGGACCACACCCATCAATCCTTGTTTTGAAATGCTAGCAATCCTAGATTTCAAGGAACATTGTCATTGCAAGCAACTGACTATCAAACAGAAAATATTCCCTCCTGATGTTGATTAAACAGATCAGAGAGAAGTTTGCACTCATTTGCACACAAGAACTTCATTGTAATTTGTCAAATACTCTCTCCGTCCCCAAATATAATGGATTCTAGATTGTATTGGAGAAACTAAGGATGGACGAGAAAGAGTATGATGCTCCTCATTAATTGAGGGGTATATGTAGGGAGTGAAAAAGGGTAGTTGGGGGGTAAGATGGGGAAAATTTTGAATGAGAGGTGGTTGGAGGGAAAAGTAGTACTCTAGGATACCTTATATCCGAGGACAAATTTTGAATGCTTGGATCCCTTGTATCTGGGGATGGGAGGAAGTAAATATCATGATGCATCAATAGAAGTGAATGGAAAAAATATAGTCATGTGTCAAATGTCCTACCAAAGATATACTAGCATATGATGCGTATATAATATTAATAAATGTTCTGGTCAATGAGAAAAATGCATATGCGAGTTTTTGTTACCAACCATCCACCTATCTCATTGTAAAATACATATCTGTGTCACTGCCATAGTGTTATTTGTTTTGCTCAATTAGGATTTTTTTCCCTAAATATAGTTTGAGAGAAGAGGCCATTACATGAACAATTTTGTGAAAAATGATAAAGTACAGTATCTTCTAAAAAATCATATATATGCAAACACTAATATTGTTCACATATTCCTTCTTAGGAAATACAGCTCATTCATCACTAGCATAATTTCTGGTTGTAATATCACTGGTGTTGCACAAAACTAGATACAGCAAGACTGGCAAAAAGTAGAATGACAGAAGAATATGTGATACTGGCAACTGTTCTAATACACAATCTTCAATGTGAAGCTCAGCAGGATGTTTTGAAAAACTGCCAGAACCTGTTCAAGAAGTACCAGAGATAGAATTTTCAGCATTGCCTATTACAAGATGGGAAGTCAATCAAATTGAAAGGTATTAGGATGAAACAGAGTAACAAACCTACCGAAAGCTATTCATCTTGAGAAACTAATGAGATCCTTTCTTCCTTTGTAGTTCTCAATACTTTCAGGGCTTACTAGCCCTGTACTTTCCTCATATTTCTTCTCTAGGTCCTATTGTAAAAGTGGAGTTTTGACTTCATGTGAGCAAAACAAGTTTGTCGTAAAATGTGTTGTAAAAAATATATATACAGGCACGCCAGCCTACAGAAATACTTATGCACAGTTATTAGTTGAAGTCACATGAGAGGTGCCTTAGCTGGGAGGATGTTGAAATATAAAATTTTGAGTTAAAAGGCAAAAGATATAGCAAACTCTTGATACACTAAAAACTCAATATTTGTAACTCTGGTAGAAAAAGTGAAGAATACATTCAAAACAAAGGAATAATATGTTATTAAACAGTTCTAGCATTAACAACTGCTATCAGATAGAATTTCGATGCAATCTCATTATTTTGCACTATAATGACGTTTTTACAAACCTTCAGTCCCTCACGCACGCTCTCAAGAACATCAAGAGACATCCTGTCAAAGAAAAGAATCCCCTGCACATCCACAATTAAATGGTTAGAAATAATATGTTGAACCGTTGTTAGGTTGCTTGAGGGAAAAACAGCAAGGGTATATATGCTCCAATATGTCTTAAATAATTGGAGAAATTGATCTCTAGATTATGGTGTTGAATAGTATATGCTTTATACGCACCCATCCCACATTGAAAATTGAGTTATCCCTAATTTGGGTTCTTTATCAAAAGTAGCCTGGACAGGTAAGTATAAGCATGAGCTTGATTTGGTGGACCCTTGCATATGTTCGCTACAGAAGGAAACTGAAGCGAAAGAGTAGCTGCTGGCAAACCTTTACAGACAGTCTTGACAATTTATTTAACTTTTACCATGGTTAAGCACGTACCTGTAAATGATCAAATTCATGTTGGAAAACTCTTGCAGACAGACCTGACAATTTAACTTTAATCTTTGCCCCTGTAACATCCTGAGCATCAATTTTGACATTGTCTGGTCTCTGCATGAATAAAGTGATCATAATTCATAAGTCATTCACCCAAAGGACACACAGCTGCAGTATGATGGAAATTTTGTTTGCCTATTTCACATCTATATGTTGCTAAACTTTTGGGTATTTCAGTCTCTAAATTATATAGTGCTTTTGTGTTAAATCTAGTTAATATGTGCATATTAGTAGTAGGCTTAAAACGAGTAACCAACTCTTGAATTCTCATATTGTTACAAGGTCAGAATTTGAAGGATGGTTCATTTGTTATAATCATGTTAATACGTTATCACTGCTTTAACTCAAATGCATAGTTAAAAATATAGTTCAGTAAAACGTGCAGGGTTAATCTCAGCAGGCAACTTCACTGATTGTTCACTGAATGCATATAACAGTCCGCAGAATGAAGAATTCAGCAGCACAGTGCAAACACACAAGCTTAATAAATTATTTTCCAATGTACTACCTTTGTTTTTTTAAACACAAGCTTAATCAATTATTTTCCAATGTACTACCTCCGTTTTTTAATAGATGATGTCGTTGACTTTTTATCACACGTTTGACCATTCTTCTTATTAAAAAAAATTACGTATTTATAATTTATTTTGTTGTGAGCTGTTTTATCACTCATAGTACTTTAAGCATGATTTATATCTTATACATTTGCATAAAACTTTTGAACAAGACAAATGGTCAAACAGATGTTCAAAAGCCAACAGCGTCATCTATTAAAAAAGGAGGGAATATCATGTAGACTTTCAAGAGTCATCAAATAACAATATGGCTTGTACACAAAGTATCCTCACCACCACATTGGCATATATCCCAGGGAATGATAAGCAGCCTTCCTCATACACTAACAATCTCTTCGACATTTTGTATACAACCGGGTTGACAAGGACAATCTCCTCTCCTTCTCCCTTCACACCAGCTGGATTAAATACCATAAGCTGTACATTCACCCCAACTTGTGGTGCAGAGAGACCAATTCCATCAGTCCTGTAGCAAGAAACCAATGGTTCAATTGGAGGAATATCTTCTCGAGCAATAGTAGATAGCAAGCCTTTCTAAAAATGATAGCAAGATATATGATTGGATATTTCCCCCACTTAACAAGGCATTTCACATACTGTCAGAAATAACTAGTATGCCACACAATTTCGACCACTTCAAATCACGCCGTAGTAGTCTTGGAGATCTGTTAAACACTAGACCTCTCTAAAGCCCAGGGAGCCTCGTAAGCACAAATGGTACCTTAATTTGGTTATTTAACAAAGTAACACATATTGAATCTGAAGCGCTAGAAAAAAAATCACCATGGCAGGATCAACTTAACATTTTCATGCATAATTCGTCAAAAGAGTGGCACGGTACCCTCACGCGCATTTCATCAAACAGGTCGGCGCACGCAAACAGAAAACCCCAGCAACGAAAGGCACATATGACTCAAACGCCAGACTCACTTGTACATAACGTCGAACATCTCATCAGTGAGGCTGCGGAGGTTGTCATCGAAGGTGTTGATGCGCTTGTTGCGAGCCCGTAGGATTGGGTCGGGGTACTTCACGACCTTGAGCGGCGGCTCGAACTGGAGGTCAGCAGCTGCATCGTGCACACACGCCACCAGAAGCAGAAGAAGAACAAACCGCGTGAGAAGCACCACAGAGGAACCCCTGAGCAGAGGAACGCGCCGTGAAGGCGGCGGCTAACCTGTGGCGAAGTCCTCGTCCTCGGCCGGCGGCGCGGTGGCGACGGCGGAACCGAAGCCGCGGCGGGCGCGTGCCGCCGCGAGAGGCGCCACCGAGCCCATGCGGGAGAGGGGCAGCGCTCTGGGGTGCGCGGCGAGGAGGGGGGCGAAGGAGGACGCGAACCCGCGGAGGCGGGGGCCGAGGCGGAGGTGAAGGCGCGCGGCCATGGTGGTGGGGGAGTCGACGATTTTTTCCCCCGCACGCGGCAGCGATTGGGCGGTGCCCGCTACAGATGCCTCGGGGTTTTTTTTTTTTTTTTTTTTTTTTTTGGGCGTGCGGGAGCAGTTTGGCCGTTGGCGGTGCGGAGCGGTTGCACGAGGAGCAACTCTCAGCGTTTGGATTGTAATCGGACGGCAAAGCCACTCGCGATGGGTGCCTTGGGTCGATCTGGGTCGCGTCCCTTCACCTGGCTCCTGGCACTATGCAGCCTACCAAAATCCTCACTTGTTAAACTCTAAAAAAATATCCTCACTTGTTTGGAGATAAAAAAAAATCCTCACTTTTTTGGGCATTCGGCCATTTTTCTCGGGAAGGATTTCGGCACTTTCATTTCCATTGCTTCTGGTACGATTCCAACGGTACCCTATCTAATATCTGAACCGTAATACGAGAAATCTTCACCTCTTATCACAACCATTCAAGACAGATTCCAGGATGGTATCGACGACGGGTTTCACTGACGTGGCGCTCTAGTCAGCAAAAAAACACATAGACCCATGTGTAAGTGAGAAGAAAAAACTTCTATCTTTAATGCCTGAGCCGTGGTGAACAGAGAGTGGTGCCGATCGGTTCATGCAAGAGCGGGTGTTGTGAATCCATCAATGTGGTTAGGACTTGGTTTGGTGGAGACCGCAAAAACTCTTCACCAATTACTTTTATGCTATCGACCAATCAATTGAGCGGCATCTACAGAATTTGATCTGATCGGCGGTGGTGTGATCCCGAGGAGGAAGCGGATGTCTAGCTAGTTGTTCATGTAATTTAACCATTGCTCTCGACGCTCGTCCGCTTGGAGCACGACGACCCGATGATCTTCGCCGCCATAATTGATGGGCGGCGAAGACCTTGCTGGGGACATCTCTTGGGGCTGAGGGGGCGGTTGTAGCGTGACGCTTCTGCTCCTCTTTTTAGAACTCGCCCCCTGACGATTGCGTGGTACCAACACTCCATGCTATAAAAGACCCTCTCCTCTCCCACTTGTGCATGAAGATGTCCTTGCCATCGAGTGGCTGCCGACAAAGATCATAGTACGCCTGAAACTCCACCACCTAGAACACAGTCGTGCCCGCACTGAAACAACACAGGTTAGTGGCGCATCGCCGCTCCCCCTGAGCTCTAAGACCTCCAATGGCGCGGCATGGGACCATGTGGTGGTGGAGGACGACGATGACACAACAAATGGCAACGGTGAAGATCGCCAGCCTTCCATTGATGCTGCCGCTCCTCCTCCGGCACCTCAAGTATGACCAGAATACCAAGCCTGACCCAAACCTCACCTGCATCGCGGTGGCGCCACCCACCGCGTGGCGATGGCGCCACATGAAGTGTCGCATGGTCCATGGGGCTAATCGGCGACGGGATGCCATCTATGCCATCCAGATACCAGTAACGCCTAATGGAAACGTTGAGCTTACATGCCACGACGCTGGCCTTCACCACGGACACAAGATACTGGGAAGTCTGGAAAGTTTTAAAGATGTATTTTTTTCCCTCTCACTTACACGTGAGTCGTATAATTTCTATTTTGTTTTTGCTAACTAGGATGTCACGTCAATCAACTGTCAATGATGTCTTAAGGTCCATCTTAAATAATTTTGATAAGAAATAAAGATTTATGTTATTATGCAATTATAAACTCGACTCTAAGGTGAGAGACAACAAGCGGGTAGAGTCCGATTCCAACAGACGAACAAATATCTACGATTCTCCACTCTCTATTGACGCGAATATTTTTCTCCCACCGGGAAATTAAACGTGGCCTACCTCGTCGCGTTTAGCTCACCGTGAGCCGTCGAGAGCTCACCAATCCGGCAGATCGCCAAACCAGTTCCGAGCGCGAGCCAAGGCGGAGCCACTTCCATTTCGGGCGCGAGAACAGCGACACGCTGGCAGAGTGGCAGCAGACACGTGAGGCGAGACGCGCGAGTGATCAGCTAACGTGCACGTGGCTTTGTTCACTGTCAAGTGTAGCTGGCAAAAGAAGAGAAGAAAGGTAAAGGTGCTGTTCTTTTCTCGAATAAGAGTTGGATAAAAATTAAAATTTTCGTGGCACGCTTTTTAAACTGCTAAACAGTGCGTTTCGTGCGAAAATTTTCTATATGAAAGTTGCTCTAAAATATTATAATAATCTATTTTCAAGTTTGTAATAATTAAAATTCAATCAATCATACATTAATATCACCTCGTTTTGCGTAAAAACTTCATCTTCATCTTCATCTCCATCTTCAAGAGAAAATAACACCACCAAAATATGATGCGGCTTAGAGCAGGTACAATAGTAGGCTATAAGTCAGCTACAAACATATTTTAAAGAGATAAATGAAGAGAGAGAAGAACATCGAGCTACATATCTATAGCCAGCTGCAGCACGGACTCCAAGACGTAATGCGTGTATGACAGATGGGACCAGGTATTAATAGTATAGGTATTAATAGTATAGTAAGCAACTATTGTATGAATTGGCTATTACATTGACTATAGATGATTTGGAGTTAGTAGTGGGCTATACTATTAAACTTGCTCTTAGCCGGCTATTTCTGGGCAGCATGGGCTTGATGAGAATATAATCTGCTATAGCTTGCTAATTACTCAAACAGCATGCAAAGATTAAGACTGCACTGTGTTTTAATTTTGTTTGGCAAGCTAGGCAAGGACTTTGTGACGAGTTAACTAGAGTGACTAATAGATTTTTGAGGTGGCCGGCGAGTGTATGGTTGAGCTTGCAGGATGCATGTGCGCTTGCTATACATATGTAACTTTTAACATATAAGGGCCCTCTTTAGATCCCGACAAAATTTTATATCCTATCACATCGAATATTTGGACACATGCATCGAGTATTAAATATAAATGAAAAAATAACTAATTACACAAATTGCGTGTAAATTGCGAGACGAATCTTTTAAGTCTAATTGCGCCATAATATGACAATGTGGTGCTACAGTAAACGTTTGGTAATGACAGATTAATTAGGTTTAATAAATTCGTCTCGCGGTTTACATGCGGATTATGTAATTTGTTTTGTTATTAGACTGTTCAATACTTTAAATGTGTATCCGTATATTTGATATGACACGCCAAAACTTTACCCCTCTGATCTAAACACAGCCCATGTGAAAGACCAACGGATAACTCCAGTTTTTGTTTTTTTGAAAAAAAAAGACTAGTTTTTCGATTCAATCATTCTGTGGACTTTATCCACATTGTGGATGAGCCCGTTCCCTCAAAAGATGATCCGTCAATACGGACAGGTTTGGACTTGTACCCGCCGTCCCGAAATGGAAGCGCCTCAAAAGAAAGCATCCCTTTTCTTTTGCCAAACTCGGCAAGTTTGCAGCATTTCGCAAGCTAGCCACGACTTCGGAGAGCATGTGGCTCCACTCACAAACATGTGCGCAATGCGTAAAGCACTAAAGCCTCGTGACCTCGTCGCGTCTATATAAACACCGACGGCGCCGGGTGTCCGATCAATCAGGATCCAAGTGTGCGGCAGCAAATCCACCGCCCCCTCACCCGTCTCTGCTCTGCTCTGCTCTCTGTTCCTCGCGGCACGCTAGCTATTCGATGGCCACCAGGATGTGCGGCCGCGCCGGCGAGCCGGCGGTGCGCAAGGGCCCGTGGACGCTGGAGGAGGACCTCATCCTCGTCAGCTACATCTCGCAAAACGGCGAAGGATCCTGGGACAACCTCGCGCGCTCTGCCGGTGAGCTAAGCTATACGCTCGATGTTACGTTCCTTCTTCGTTGCTGGAAATTGTTGGGATTTGATCGATCGGAGCTTTAATTATCTCGCGACTATGTGATGTCCGAACTCAGGGCTGAACCGGAACGGGAAGAGCTGCAGGCTGCGGTGGCTCAACTACCTGAGGCCCGGTGTGCGGCGGGGCAGCATCACGCCGGAGGAGGACATGGTCATCCGGGAGCTCCACTCCCGGTGGGGGAACAGGTGGTCCAAGATCGCCAAGCACCTCCCCGGCCGGACCGACAACGAGATCAAGAACTACTGGAGGACCAAGATACACAGGAAGCCGCGCGGCAGGAGCCAGCTGCTGCAGGAGCCGTGCGAGGACGCCATGGGCATGGGCATGTCCACCACCACCAGCGAGGCGGCGTCGACGTCGGCGTCGAGCGGCCAGAGCCAGGCCAGCCCCGGCGTCTGGGATGAGTACATGCAGGCGAGCAGCTTCCCTCACCCGGAGCTTGTCTCCTTCGCCGCCGACCACCACCTCGAAATGGCCGGCGTGGGCGAGGTCGCCGCCGCCGCCGCCGCGCAGTTCGTCCCGACTGAGTTCGGTTTCAATGACGGCTTCTGGAACTTCGTGGACAACTTCTGGGAGACGATGCCGGTTTCAGACGTGGTGTGACGCGCGCCACGCAAACCAATTAACCGCGCGCGCGGCAGCAACTAGCTAGCGAATATAATAGCACTATAGCCTATAGAGAGAAGATACAAGATACAGAAATCGTCAACGATGTCTCTATACTTGCTTGTAGAGGCGGATGTTTCAGATACTTGATCTCGCTTTTTGTTCGTGAGAGAACTTTTTTGGCGAGGTTAAAAAGATGCTCTTCTGCACTCTGTGAGGTTCTGAATTCTGATACTTCAGAAAGCTACGACAATAGTACAAGCTAAGATTTAATAGTAGCACATGCAAATGAGTGAATCTGTAATTCCGAATCTTTTTGACAACACACGTTGTTGTATCTGCGTCACTGCATGTGCAGTGGCCCCGGTACTAATACTACTGAGATTTGGTTCTATTTATACGTTCCTGGATGTTGTTCTCTGCTAAGTGAACGTACGGCTCTAGTCTCAACGTGGCTAGCGAATGCATGTGCACTTTAAATTGCTGACAAGCTCGACCGCCGGTTCGTTACGTCCTAAAAATGAGACCGGCAAATTGGCGACCTTCTCGCCATGCCCTTGTGTCTAATTTCTCAGGTCATGCTAACTGTCAATCGGCAGCACATGACCACATGCACATGATGACTTCGTATTTGGATAAAAAGCAGAGGCAAAAGAGCTATGTAAGGCCACCAATCCAGTCTTAAAAATCAGCTGGCACGCCCTCGAGACTAGCCTTAGATCTATACTGGAGTTAAACAAATGTCTCAGGTCACCATGTTTTCACATCATCAGTCTCATGTGAAAAATTATGCACTCAGTCAACGAAATCAAGATTATTTCTTTGCTCACTGATGACCATGTGACCCCAGTAGTGCACTAGACCTAGTTGTCAACTGGTTTTATATTTGTTTGTTGGTTATTTACATTGCATTCCTCCATAATTATTCCTATGTTTCTTGCAACCATCCAAGCACCCATCCTATAAAATTCATGTATTTTCAAATCGTCTGTTTTACTTACGTGTTCCTATCAAATCCCTTAGCCTTTTCTATTCCTCTATTTTTACTATTTCTATATTTTGAACAAGCCCTAAAAGTTTCTCCAAACCAAATAAGCCCTCAGCCTTTCTTACGTATGTACAATACACAAAGCAAATCGGTTTTGTGTTGGCACTACCGCAGCTAGGAGATAGCATGAGAGCGGTGACCAGATGATGAGACGGTATTGTGACCATTGACCAAGGCTAAAGTGATAACTAGAGGTGGGGTACAATGGTTGATCTTGTGGCGCGGGATGTACTGCCATTGAGTAGTACTACTCTCTAATCTCTATTTATGGTCATATTTGTAGTGGTGACTATTACCATGTGTCATAAAAAGAACCACAAAATGTAGAAAAAAAAGAAGAGCTCTCTCACCCTACACTTGCAAGAGAAGAAAGTACACAAAGAGGCACTACTTTACTTGTTAGGCAAGCGTGGCTCACTGTTCCTTGCTTTTCTATCCAAACTTTTGCCTTTGCTAAATGCATCACCTCAAACATAGAAGGGTGCATCAAAGATTTTGAGAGTAATGCTTAAAATGGGAAATTGGACACGAGGTTATAAGGACGACTCATCAGGAATTGTGGGTTGTCTGTCTGTCTCATTGAATAGAAACCACTTACATAATGCATTTGTTTTCAAAAGAATGCAACAAAAGAATGGCTAGTTTTCAGTCAAAAAAGAAAAGGAATGGCTAGTTACCATGCATGTTGATTGAACCCAAACCATGACAATAAGACATGCCATTTTGTCTCAAGTAAACTAGCATAGTAGTCCGCGCTGATTTCGCGGCTAGCATCATTATATTTTCTCTTATATAATAGCATATATACATTCTTATTTTAATATTAAAATAACAACATAATTTTAAAATTTGTACTAAATTTACAAAACTACTAATGTGTAAATATTATACCGGTATGGACTCTAGTCTTATCTTTCTATATTCCTTATTGTTAATTCCAAATTTCAGCTATTTTAAAATTGTATTCCTGTATGGGCTCTATTTTTTCTCATATTAATATGAGAATTTCTAGGCCATGAGAGCCAACATGGAGGCTTTTTTTTCGGTTACTTTAATAAGTTAATAGATTTTACGAGCTCTATGTCATCACCACAACTTTTATTAGATGCACACAAAAATCAGTAAGCGGTTGTAGCATGATTTTTTTTAGGTTTTTCATTGATCAATAAGACATATTTAAAATTCCAACACATAGCAAAAATATATAGCAGGCCAAAACCTTTTTTCTTTATGGTAGTATAGATGGTCCTATTCTATACACTTCCCTTCTACCTGGTATTATTTCCACCAATTCAAACTTTTACAATTATACAAAGGTATACTCATACACCGGAACGGGATCCTCCTGTTGCAACATGCATGCAAGTATGCAATGGCAGATGGCTACATAAAGGTGCAGGGATGTTTGTGCACAATAGCATAGTAACCATAGCGTATGACCTGATACACCGTATTTTGATTGAACGGCTATGAGATGGTCCTAATTTAGAAGACACAATTATCCTCTATATTAGCACCCATGTTGTATATGTTTAAGTGACGAATCTCTCTATTAAAAGAACATTTTATAGATCGACTGGAGTTGAGATTACTCGACTCTTCTCAATTTCATCGTTTGAAAATCAATCTCTGACTAACGGAAGGACCCGAGAGCCTAGCGTCCTTCTGAATCCTAATTCTTTGTGCTCTATCCTCTTGTTCTACCATCTTATCTCATGAAAAAAAGCGCTATTACATCCATCTTAAAAATATAACTATCTTTAAACTTAATTTTTATCTCAAATAAGTCAACCTAAGACAAGTATAAGGTGACTTCCCCCCCTCCAAAAAAAAAACACCCCATGCTACCCCTAGTGGCCTTATCACCCCACTAGCCCTCAAGACCCAAGCCCCACCCATATCATCCTTAATCTCATCAACCCCCTTGTGTATTACTGGGTAACATTTTAGACATTTCGTCGCAATAACACAATCCTTAATTTCTCCAAAACATTCTTAGACAGATATATTTTGGGGTAAGGGGAGTACATGATAGCTCCATATAAGTCTAAGAGACGACTCATTATCGTCTCTCTAAGTGCCCTTCTCACTCAACTATGGACCTATGGATATGGTGCTATGTTGTATACAGGCAACCAGAACCATGTGGATGGAGTATTATTTATTGTTTCAGATATCAACACAATCTCAGTGTATATTTTTTATCACTACTTTTAATAACTATACTTAATTACATAATGCTACCTTCATATTAAAATATAAGGAGTTAGGTATTATTCTGCAGTTCCGTTGTGTGAAGACTGATAGTCACATTGTTTCGCTTATTCATACGCTTATCCAAATCGCTTTTCAGCAAACAAAAAATTATTTGGGAGTAAAATTTTTATATATGCGTCCTTAGCAACTCCAAAGCAAATATTGTAAAATAAACTATGATGAAAAAAATAAAATTAAGTTCTAAAATTTGAAGTTTATCTTATTTTTTTAATGGAATCAGCACGAGAGTGTGCTTTTTCATTGAATATAGTAGGAGAAAAAATGCAGCCCCTAGAGCAAAGAAAAGGCAAGAACAAAAAACTGTACACTATACAAGATGCAGGATAAGCTCGCGTAGTCTCTTGGCACCCGCTCACGCCCACGTGGCAGCCTCCTCTTTTATTTTTGCAATGAGGTACTTTGTTGTGGCCTCCTTGTGCTCAAAGATTCTCCGATTGTGTTCCTTCCATATTTCCCAAACAACGAGGAGGATCAGGGTGCGCAGCCCCTTCTTGGGGATGCCTGCTGAAGCAGCAAGCGTTTCCCACCAATCCTTGATCGTCTGAGTCGTCTCCCAAAGCCGAGGGTCGAGGTGAAGATATCCCACCCAGTTCGCTACCATGCTCCAAATCCTTTTGGAATATCGACATTCCGCAACAAGGTGCAAGGCCGTTTCATCCTCTCTCCTACAGAGGGGGCACTGCCCGTTGTTCTGCCATTCCCTGTTTGTGAGACGGTCAGAGGTCCATACTCTATTCTGGATGATGAGCCAGGCGTGAAGCTTACATTTCCCATGCGCCCAAGCTCTCCAAATTAACGGGTCATAGGTCGTGCCTGGCGCGCCAATGCACTGAGCTTTGTAGGCTGACGAAGCCGAGTACTGCCCATGAGTTGTGAACTTCCAAGTGATTTGGTCCGGTTCTTCTTCATCCAGCTGCATGCCACGGACTGCAATCTATAGTGCCACGAGTTGTTCCACAAGGGTCACTGAGATTTGCGGGTTTGTCTCCAAGGCCAAATCTCCGACCCAGGCATCATACGCCAAACAATGGCTCTTAAAGAAGTGAAGAGGGCCTTCTATTTTTGGTTTTCTGTCATCAGTCATCACCCTTCTCTTTTTTGTTTTGTGTGATGCTAATCGCGTCACTGCGTCGTTCACCACGAGCGTTCCATGTGAAGTTTACGTAAGCGGTGACGAAGCAAGTGCCCATGTTCCGGGGCGGCTCCTCTCCACCAGTATCAGAAGAACTCAGGAGATAGCTGTTCAGTCGTCTCGTCAGCACGTACGCCCATCTTTGTCAGTTTTCTCTTGGCACCAACGCGCGGTTATTTATGTTGAATTATTCATAAGCTGAATATTCTTATTCATACATTCGGATCAACGCAAAGTGAGAAAAACTCTACCTCTTACAAATTTCTGCCAAAAGTATTCACTACCTGCGCAATTATTCAGAGCCCGTGCTAAACTTGGACGGCACCCCAAGCAATTGGGGAGATGATCACCAAGTCAGATACGACTTATTACACTAGTTTTCCTCGATGGTTCCGCTCGATAATGAGAACTGAAGTCATTTCGATTAGACCCTATAAAATGGGTGGTTCCGGTCTTCCGTAGAGCACAAAGTTTTCAGGCATCTGAAGTTTTGGACTTGCAACACACTCTGCTTTCAAGTTCTGAACTAGCATTCTACTCTGTTCTAGCTGACTAGGTCACACATGGCTATCAAGGATGAGCAGCAGCCACTGCACATCCTCTTCTTCCCATTCCTCGCGCCCGGTCATCTCATCCCGATCGCCGATATGGCCGCTCTGTTCGCCGCTCGTGGCGTCAGGTGCACCATCCTCACCACCCCTGTCAACGCCGCCGTGATCCGCTCGGCCGTGGACCGTGCCAACGACTCGTTCCGTCGCAACAACGGCGGCCTGGCGATCGAACTCACCGTCGTGCCATTTCCGGACGTTGGGCTCCCGCCGGGCTTCGAGAGTGGCACGGCGCTTACGACCCAGGACGACCGTGACAAGTTCTTCCTTGGCATTAGGCTGCTCCATGAGCCCTTCGACCGGTACCTGTCGGAGCACCACGTCGACGCCGCCGTGGTGGACAGCTTCTTCAGGTGGGCCGCGGACGCCGCCGCCGAGCACGGCGTCCCGCGGCTGGGGTTCCTCGGCACCAGCGTGTTCGCGAGGGCCTGCACCAACAGCATGCTGCGCAACAACCCGCTGGAGACCGCCCCCGACGACCCCGACGCCGTCGTGCCCCTGCCGGGCTTGCCTCACTGCGTCGAGCTGAGGCGGAGCCAAATGATGGACCCGAAGAAGCGGCCGGACCACTGGGAGAAGTTCCAGAGCTTAGACGCCGCCGACCAGAGGAGCTTCGGCGAGGTGTTCAACAGCTTCCACGAGCTGGAGCCGGACTACGTCGAGCACTACCGCACGACGCTCGGCCGCCGCGTGTGGCTCGTCGGGCCGGTCGCTCTTGCGAACAAGGACGTGGCGGTGCGAGGTACCAGCGAGCTCTCGCCGGACGCCGACGGCTACCTGCGGTGGCTCGACGCGAAGCCACGCGGCTCGGTGGTGTACGTCTCCTTCGGCACGCTATCCAGCTTCTCGCCGGCGGAGATGCGGGAGCTCGCCCGAGGACTCGACCTCTCCGGCAAGAACTTCGTGTGGGTTATCAACGGCGCGGACGCCGACGCGTCGGAGTGGATGCCCGAGGGCTTCGCCGAGCTGATCGCGCCGCGCGGCGAACGCGGCCTCACCATCCGGGGCTGGGCGCCGCAGATGCTCATCCTGAACCACCCGGCCGTCGGCGGGTTCGTGACGCACTGCGGGTGGAACTCGACGCTGGAGGCCGTGACCGCCGGCGTGCCGATGGTGACGTGGCCACGGTACGCCGACCAGTTCTACAACGAGAAGCTCATCACGGAGGTGCTCGAGGTGGGTGTCGGCGTCGGCTCCATGGACTTCGCGTCGAAGCTGGAGAACCGCCGGGTGATCATCGGCGGCGAGGTGGTCGCGGGAGCCATAGGGAGAGTGATGGGCGACGGCGAGGAGGGCGAGGCGATACGGAAAAAGGCGACGGAGCTGGGCGTGAAGGCGAGGGGCGCGCTGGAGAAGGGTGGGTCGTCGTACGATGATGTTGGAATTCTGATGGACGAGTTGATGGCTCGCCGGGGCTCCGTCAATGTGTGACAGCACTCCCTAACAAGGTGATTGACGGCTTGACGCATCAAGAAGATGGTGATCGGACATTCGGACATCTCCAGAGTCCAGACTATTGTCTTTTTCCTCAGAGTTTTTTTTTTTTGGAGTAACTATATTTATGGCGCCATATTTTTCATCAAAAAATAGTCGGTATATATTTACATTGTAAATTTCTAAATTACATATGTAATTTTAGTGTATTTACAATATAAGTCATAAAATTACATATGTAAGTCTCTAAATTACATATGTAAGTATAATGTAATTATAATGTAAGTGCAATGTAATTTCTATATTTTGCATTGAAAATTACATATATTGATTACTTATGTGAAAGAACGTGCCAACGAGCTACGGTTAAAGCAGTGCTTCGAGCCAATCAAATGCAATTGATGAGACCAATGCCACCGAAAAAAGCGGCGCTCCAGCCAATCAAAGGCTTAGAAAAATTTCGACTGAGAATTGAGAAAAAATATGTCGCCATATTTATAGCAATACCGTTTTTTTTTCTTTTTGACTATTCTCTCAGATTGTAAGGGTTGTATGAACCGTCAACGGTCCAATTTTAGTACAGGCCTCCATTGATAAGTTTGTTCTGGCAATCTGGCATGATAACCTTTGTGCAATTATCCTAGATTGATCGGCCCAGATATTGGTATCAGCCGTATTGGTCAGCCCAGTCCGAAATGTTTAAAATTTAGGAAAAAGTACACTCAAGGTCCCTCAACTTATCATCGAGATACAAAATCGTCCCCCAATAGCAAAACCAGATACCAGGTGTCTCTCAGCTAGCAAAACTGTTTTCTTTTGGTCCTTCGATAGTTTTGACCCTGGTTTTGTCCGTCGTGGTGGCTGAGTCAGCGTGAGACCCACGTGGGCCCCACATGTCATACTAATCCATGACATCACCCTCTTTCTCTCCCTTCCTCCTCTCTATCACTCTTCTTCTCCTCTCCGGGACTTGGGGCAGGCTTGTCGACGGGTCACGCCACGCACGACGGCGTCGAGCCCAGGGGCGGACCAGCGCGAGGCGACAAGCTTGACCTCGGTGACGGCCACGAGGTCGACCATGGCCAGGAAGGACCCCGGCATGGCATCACCGAGTGATGCGCTTCAAGCTCCACGCTGCACGCGACAACGCGGGAGTAGAGCAGGCCCAGCTCCACCCTCAGCTCCCGTGGTTCCGCCGCCAGCCACGGCCGCAGCGCCGCCTCCGCGAGCACCATTTGTGGCGGGGCTAGGGGGCTCGTGCTCCTCTCTTTAGTGTCCCATGGACTCGAAGCGGCGGCGGAGGAGAAGCCGGAGGCGAGGCGGTGAGGAGTTCTGGCGACGCTACCAGCGCCATCGAGCGCACATGAAGAGGGAAGAGGTGGGGAGGCTAACCGACTCCAGCGGTTGGGGGCCCTCCTCCAGCCTATGCTCTGGATCGATGCCGTCCTCCTCACCACGCTCCACCGGTCGCCATACTCCTCACCAGCAGCTGCAGCGCTTCATGGAGGTGAGGTAGTCGCGGGGCAGGCCGAGGTCCCAGCGGAGGAAGTCGACGATGTGGAGGCGGTGAGGTGGGACACGAGGTCGGAGTCGGATTCGATGACACAGTCCACCTCCGCCGCCGGAGGTCGAACGCCGCGTCCATGAGGGACGCCACTGCCGGAGCACTGCGAAGAGCGTGTGGTACCTGCGCGCCACTCCTCCCCACGCCGCCCGCAGCTCCTTCCCCCGCCGCCTGCGCGCCGCTCCTTCCCCTGTCACCCGCAGCTCCTCCCCCCACCGCTCGCGCGCTACTCCTCTGCCACCCGCGCGCAGCTCCTTCCCCCCACCCGCAGCTCCTCCCCCTGCTGCCGCCGCCTTGTGGGCACCGTCCGTCTCGCTTTCGACGCCAGCGTCACCGCCATCACCGCTGTCGCGTCGCCACCTCGCACTGCCGACCTTGCTGAGAAGAGAGAGAGAGAGATGAGGAAGGGAGAGAAGAAGGGAAAAGAGAGAGGAAGCTGGCGTGGCCACGCTAACATGTGGGGCCCATGTGGGTCCCACGCTGACTTAGCCGCCACGTCGGACAAAACCAGGGTCAAAACCACCGAAGAACCTAAAGTGAACGGTTTTGTTAGTTGAGGGACGCCTGATATCTGGTTTTTTGCGATTGTGGGACGATTTTGTAACTCGATGACAAGTTGAGGGACCTTCGGTGTACTTTTTCCTAAAATTTACCCCATACGTTCCAAAATACTACTGTAAATATATTTAGGTTATTTAGCAAAAATAATATTAATATTAATATATGAATTTTATATTGCTTAGGACCTTTCCCAGCTTTTGATTGGTTGAAAATGTTTTGCTTTCTATGGTTGGAATGTGCCCCGGAAATATTTATATTATGTTTAAATTCAAATACTACCTCCGTTTTTTAATAGATGACGCCGTTGACTTTTTCTCACATGTTTGACCATTCGTCTTATTCAAAAATTTTATACAAATGTATAAGATATAAATCACACTTAAAGTACTACGAGTGATAAAACAACTCATAACAAAATAAATTATAATTACGTAAATTTTTTTGAATAAGACGAATGGTCAAATATGTGAGAAAAAGTCAACGGCGTCATCTATTAAAAAACGGAGGGAGTACTATAAATACTTGTATTTTGGAGGATGGGGTACTGCTCCAACTTGGATAAATTCAGTGATGAGCACAAAACCAAATACAAACTCTTATTCTAAACATTCTCTCTTGTACATACACGAAACCGAGAATATTACTAAGGATTAATAACACAGAAATTAGGCGTCCATGAAGAAAAAAAGGAACAACTGAACTCAGATGTTCCAAATCTCAACACCTTCAAAAACGAAAAGTTCAAGCACGGACCAAAATATAGGCCCGTGTCATGGCCTTTTTCTCAATGGATCCAGGGCCGGACGCAGCAAAACCCAATATGGATCGATGAAGTTGGGGAGCGGTGTCGTCACTCAGGGCATGTTTGGCACAGATCTTTTCTTGCTCCAGCTCCACCTCTTCTGGAGTTGGAGCTCAGCCCAACAATTTCAGCTCCACTAAAACTGGGAGTGGAGCTGGGTGGAGCTCTCTCACAAAATGAACTAGAGTTGTGGATCTGGGTTTAGACAGCTCCACAACTCCACTCCAGACCCAACTCCTGGAGCTAAATTTAGGAGTTGGAGATGTACCAAACACACCCTCACCGTCAGCTTCTTTCTTTATCGCATGCGTAGGCTAGGGCCATTCATAGTGTTTGTGGCATTCAATATCAACATGTCATGTAAAAGATTCTTCTCCACGTATACAAGTGCCAAATCCTTGGCGAGCCCCTTTATCCCCCATAAGGCCCTTCACGGTGCAGTGAGTTGGAGCGTTACCTAGTTCTCCAGCTAGGCCAAAATCTGACGTGGAGGAGAAAAAGCAGTGGGCCCCGTGTCTTTGCAAGGTTTTGCACATCCTAGCTAGGATCCGGTTTCCTTACGCCAAAAAGAGAAACTGTGCGCCTCTGCGCTCTGCGGTCCCCTCCCTAATCCTCCCCATTCTTCCCCAAACCGATTTTCGTTGGTCGTCACCATCCACGCGATTCACACGGGCTTGTAGCTCACCGGCCGCGCTACCGAGTCCAGCCTCCGGTGAGGAAGGGGAGAAGCCAGAGGATGGGCGGAAGAGAAGTGCGACGGTGGTGGCGGGAAGATGTCGTCGGTTGCGGTCTCGGAAGCGAGGACGACCACGCTGGGCATGGGAGGAGAGGAGAGCCGGGGTCGCCGCCGTGCCGCCGCCGTCGTCGAGTCATCGTCGTCGACGCCCTCCAGATCCCACTGCCGTGCTGCCGTCGTCGAGTTGTCGTCGTCGACGCCCTCCAGATCCATGTCGCCGCCGTCGTCGAGTCGGCCTCCTCGACCGCCGCCGCCTCCGCCGCCGCTCCGGATCCACGCTGCCGCCTCGGCCTCCTCGACCGCCGGCGCTCCGGATCCATGCCACCGCGTCGGTCTCCTCGCTCTCCGGGCGGCGTCGGTGTTCATCGTCGAGGTGGGGGGAGAGGGGAGAGGCCGCCGGCGGCGGAGTTCGTCGCCGAAGTGGGGAGAGTCTGGAGGCGGCGGTGTCACCAGTGAAGCTCCGGATGGGTTGGGTGGGTGGGGAAAGTGGAGGGGTTGTGAGGGTGTAACATCCTGAAAATTCCCAATAATAAAAATCACTAAAATTTTGAACTTTTTAAAACTTTTTGCATCATGCTGGATGTTATGGTTGCTTTTACTTGCCAAGCTATAAATTGTCACAATGGAAAATTAAACTAAAGTTATACAGCTAAGTAATAATTATAATAATAAGATATTTATTATGAACCCCATAAATATTTACTCACGAGAAAACAAAGCGAGACAAAGGGAAGGTTAATTACCAATTTAATTTATGTATCAAATATTAAATACTTGAACCATGTGATGCGTGCCATGAAATATAAACACTTATGATAATCATTCAAATAAATGGAACTCTAACTATAGAGTAGTTTTACTGGGAAAAATTAATTAGATATTATATAATTTGAATTGAATCACAAATGCTAAATTATAGAAATCTATGTGGTGGTAAAACCAATCCAAAAAGATAAACCAATGTATGTGAAAACATATAAATACCAAAATCCCAAATATAGGGAAATATAAAAAAAATCTAGGATATATATTAAATATTGGACAATATTAAAATTTTGGGAAAATTCACATTTGAGCACTTAATACGGTCACCCAAATGCTTAGGAATAAACCCTAAAAAGTAAATTGACTAAGTAAATAACTAAAGTGCAACTTAAAATAATATTTGGTGAGGATAGAAATGAGTAAAATATTATTACGATTATATTTGCATTAATTAAATTTAAAAGTGTCGGAACAGGAATTAACCCTAATAAAAGAATTCAAATAAATTATAAAAAAATAAAATATGAATAAATTTTAATTTAAATTGAGTTTATTAGTTGAGATAACACAATTATTGAATAAAATGCATAGGTGCAAAAATTAGGATTTTTGGAATCAAAATTTATATGGGAAAATACCCTAAAATCGGTTTTATTAGAAAATGGCACTATTCATTGCCCGCCAAGTGTTCGACCGTGTCCCCTAGCCTTCCCCTCCTCTGCCTTGCGCGCCCGTGCGCCGCGCCGCCGCCTCGCGCCCCGCACGCCGCTCCGCCTCCCCTCTGCCACCGCCGCGCGACGCGCGCCGTTGCCTCTCCTCTGCCACCGCCGCGACCGCGCACCGTCGCCCGTCGCGTCGCCGTCCCATCGCCGCTCGCCGTCGCGTCACCATCG